ACGTGAAAAGGGGTGACATTTCTGCTGTTTCCAGTAGTGGTATTGCCTGTGTGAAATGGATGGACAGGATATATATATATATATATATATATATATATATATATATATTGCAACAGTCTATGAATAGATATTGAGCCATCGGAAACCATGGAACTCAAAACAAGGTACAGAAATAGTAAAAGAAAACACAACACAACACATCAAAGTCCATGGTTTCGTCAGAGGGCGAGATACTACCCGGTTGCCCAAGCCGAAGTAGGGTGTTGACTTAGGGGACACCACCCCGAGCCTTTGGCTGAATAGCCTGCCCGCAAGGCAGCGGAGCGAATTCAGGGAATCGTGCCCATTGGGAGCCGGTGACTGATTACTCAATTAATACGCCTTTCGTTTGTTCCTTTGTCAAACAGCGGCCCAATGCTCCCCAGAAGTACAGCATAAATTGCTTGAATACAATGCTTCGCCAGGATGAAGCAAGGGGCAGTGACTTTAGTTAGTGGCGAGTCACGTCCGCCACGTCACAGTGTTGTTAAACGGACATATGTGGCTTTTTATAGGGAGAACGCTTGCCAGACGAAAACCCACCACGTCCTGAAACACTGCCGCCGAACCATTTGGTGGAACGGGAGGAGGTTGGTCGGCAAGCCAGCCGAAGTAGAAGCGTTCTGATGTTGAGCAACTTCATATCGCCAATTCCTACGATTTCCGTGAATAGACGAGTAGCAGGATCAGCTGATAAACTAGATGTTCGCTGTCTTTTGATGATTCGGAAATATAATCAACATACTGGTGGTGTTGATCTTATGGGCCAGACAAAAGAGACCTATGAAATTGACAGGAGAGCTAAGATAAAATATTACCTTCGCATCTTCTTTGATTTGGTTGACATTTCTGTAAATAATTCATTTATAATTTATCTGAAGATCAATGAAATGTACCACTTCCATAACACTCCAGTTAAGCATATTGAATTTCGTGCAGCGCTGGCACGCTCGATGATATCTGATTTCTCCTGCGGACAGAGAACCATTCCAACCAATCTCCAATCAAAAAGGCGGTCACAAATGGAAAGCAATCCTTGCAAGCCAGAACATGTTATATAAAAACAGAAAAACGCAAAAGATGTTTTTACTGTGAGCAAAAGAAAATTGAAAGCTGAACTGATAATCTTTATACAGTTATTTATGTTACACCTCTGAAAGAAATTGTTTTGCATATTTTCATAGTTAACTTGGCCTCGATGCATATACGGGCAAATATGTCCCATACTTTTTTTAACAACACTATGCATATGCCACTTCCAAAACTGCAATATATGATTTCTATTAGCTTGTTTGTATATATTTTTCCACAAATTATCATCACTTGATGTGCACTTCTCTTACGTGCCTCAAAGGGTTAAACTACAAACATTTGTGAAGGCTACGCACAATCCGCGGTTTGAACCGCCGGGCGCGCCTGAAGCGTCATCAACCTGTTGATCCGGGTTCGGCTGACCCGGGAAACTATCCGAAAATCTACAATGCGGTGGTTAGTTTTCCCGCTATGAGCACGTCGCTTCAGCTCAGCGATAACGGGTTTCAATTTCTCTCGGTCCGACGGATCCAAATCTAGACGAATATGGATCTTCAGCCCTTTTAGCTTACCGAGGCGGGATAGTATCAGCCTCGTTGTCGTGTCATCTGCAAAGCTGACTCTAGCGGTCGAATCTTTCTCTCTTCTCTTTTCCCACGTCAAGGAGCCTGTCAATCATGCTCTGTAGAAATTTGTCCTCCTGACCATAAAGAGCCTTAGCATTCGCATCCGTTGACTCAGGCACATGAAATATCAAAATGTCGCAACCCCGCTGGTCGCCGCCAGTTGCTCTCTGCTTCTTATTCGTGTTCGCCACTAGCCTCTTTCGCTTGAGTTATCGCACACCGAATTGCTGGTGCTCGTTGGACGCAACCTAAACACAGATAGACCAGCTGAGTCTACAGAAACGGATCTACATCGCTTCGGTAGGCAAGCGGCTGGTCCCGACGTAGGGATGGCTCAGTTATTGACGCATTTGTTGAACCCACGGCGCTTCTCGTCATGGAACGTTTCGCAATATTTGGACAAAATCATACTGGATAGCACGCAGAAGTTTATACTGGTCAACAGATAAACTGATGCATGAAATTTGGAAGTATATGCCGCAAAACGTGCATGTGAACGCGTTTACGCGACTGCCAACTACTTTTGAACAGCTACCACAAGGAGTCTGGTTAACCATTTCTAATCAGATACCGATCGATACGGCCGAATCAACGTAGTAGTGAATCTCAGCAACTATAACAAACTAGCGCACGTGTTTTTGATGAAACTATTTCGAATTACTAATATTACTGAATTACACACAGAGGCAGATAAAAATGATTATCTGTATAAAGAACGAGGTGAACTGGCCTGACGACGACCGAAACCAAACGCGACTCGGACGGCGAGATTAATTACGGGACACCCATTTGTCTTGATTTATGTCGTATGACAAAGAAACAGAACATAGCATCGACGCTGCGCCGCCGCCACGGGACTGGGATAAATCATGTGCGGTAACGCTACACCAGTTGGACAGCTAAATGGCAGACAAATAAAGTATATACATAAAGTGGCTTGCAGCAAAAACACTTGCTTCTTTCTAAGATGTAGCCAGGTATTTGTTACACTGCTTTTCCATCGAATTACTGCGATCCCCGAATTGTTGTTTCACTGAACGATTTCCCAAGTTTCGTTCACAAGGGTTAAGTTTATCTTCTTTGCTGTACTTTACAACTGGTAGCTTTTGGAACGTAGCATGTGTGGCTATTCTATATGCAGCCATATGCGAAAATGTATGTCACGTTGGCAATCGCTTGCTCGTCACCAACGTTCATTCTTATTGTTTTATTATCTGTCGCGACGGAGCACTTACTTTGGTTTCACACTTCAACCTGTGTTCTCTTAGTTATGCGCGTAGTGAAACGTATCACGGTTGATTCAGCTAATTCATCATTGTCACTCCCAATCAGCAGGCTTAGGCTAGTCTGGAAAAGCACCAGACGCCGGCGTTTCGACCTTCTGGGTCTCCTCAGTGGTGCGCCTCCCAGCAGACCCCTGCCGGGTTCCGCCCCCATGACTTCAGGATGCCAGCAGCTAGTGCCACTTCGCCATGGGTGACAGCCGCGGACCTGCGTGATTGATAGTTAACTATGATGTAGCCTGGCTCATCTTCCACTGCTATGCCAGTTACGAACTGTACAAAGGACAATGGCTAGCCTCACGAGCTAGGAATTTCCGCATAGCGCCCATGTACTACATAGGACTTTGGAGCTATATGGATAGATTTTGTAGTACTGATGAGTAGTAGTGAGGATTTTGGTACAATTCAGCTAGTTCATCATTGTCACTCCCAATCACGGTTAGCCACTCCATCAAACAACGCAACAGCGTTATTTATGGCTTGATGCGAGGCGTTATCCGGTTACATAGAGGTAGCTATTTTGTTTTCGTCCGCGCGCGGGTTAATCTGCACCTCTGCAGGTTCGAACTGGTAATCTCTAGGTTGCAAGTTATACGTCTCATCCTTTTGGCCACCGACTTAACGCGGACAGAAAAGAACTGACAGCATCATCATCATTATACACGTTACTTAGAGGAGGAAAACACCTCAGCTACTGGCAGTGCCAAGAGAAAATGTGGGATTAACTACGTTTGAAATTTACTTGGCAAAGGGACTTGTCACCCAGTCCGCATCAGAGACATCTGTCCACCGGTAAAAGCATGTTTCTTCCACCCACTGTGCTGGATTTAGTCCTGAATGCGCTCTTCCCGACTCTCCTCCTGCGACCTAGGTGATCAGCTCAGGAGAGATTGCCGGTTAAAAATAGGACTGAGTGATGTGTGCGCGCCACATTTTCCTCCCACTGATCATTTGTTCACATCGTTTGTTGCTATCTCACTCTTGATCTGTTAGCCCAAGTCACTTCGCAGAAGCCGAGGGATTTCCCGGTGGTGTTCCAGTGCAACACAGTGACCATGCAGTGCTCTCTATCGTAACTCAGAATGCTGTTCGCTCGTGTTTTCTCTTACTCTGAACCCAAGCGAAATGCTTAAGCTCATCTACTCCCCTTCGTATTATGACCACTACTACTACTAACCCTGATGCTACTACTTCTGACATACTACTGCGACCGATGAATATCTTAGCTTAAAATTGACAGCAAATGGCGACACACACTTGTACAACTGGTCCTCTGAGTGCGTTCAACCGTGTGTGGGATTTGCTGCAGATGGATATACCATCACGATTAAGCCGTTTGTTCCGATTTTGTCTATTCTCGGCTACGCTGTCCACCGGTATTTTTTGGGGTCTCACATAACCAGGTATAACGTTGTCACGGAATTCAAGGTCGGTAGATTTTGAAGTGGTCCAGTTCAAACGGACCTACTCTAATCTCCTTGAACCCAAGCGCTACTAGCTCAATATTTGAATAAGAGGTACTTTACACTTCACAGACACCGCATCACTGTCAAATTTCGGTCGACCAGCATGCCTTGGGGCAGTGCTCGCCGACACCGAGCAGCCATTCTAATGTTCAGATATGACTTCCATACACATAGACGCAAGCCTCTTAAGTAGAAATCATTCCTCTCTTAATAGTTCACTTAAGGTATAGACACACAAGCTGCTTTCCATTTGCAGTTTAAACTCCTTATGACCCACTAAGTGATCATCGGTTGTCCGACGTGAGTGTATCTTACATCTCACTTCGTTTCGTTGATGCGGTAGGACCCTGGAGCACCATCCATGTGGTAGTTTATTTCTGTTTCTACTCCATTTTATTACAACATTGTTTTCTCCTTTAATTTCACTTAGGATACTACACTAAACGTATTACTAAATCGCACAAACTCCACCGCTTTCTCCTCGTGTCGTCCGAAACGTTATCTGGTGTCTCTAACTCGTATTTACTCTCTACTGTTAATTACCCATCCCGTAGCTGTCAGATTGTGACGGATGTTCCACTCTGCACAAAGCTGCCGGCCACGGTCATTTGGAGGCCACCAGATTCTTGCTTGAGCGCAAGGTATCCGTTCACACGAAGGACTCCGCGGGTTTGACGCCTCTGGACTACGCTGTCCGAGCACCAAATGCAACTGTTGAATTGGTGCAATTAATGCTTGACGCAGGGGCACGTTTATCCTTGATGGGTTTCCAACGTCCCAGGGCAGTGAATTTGGCTGCAGCGGCCGGCGATGTCAATCAACTGCGGCTGTATCGTTTGGCTGGATGCAATTTGGAGGTAAGTGATCTCTGACTTGCCTTGCTAAAATGTTTTCGCTCAGCTGTGCTGTGCTTTCGGCTTTCCCCAGTTCAGTCACACCATCGATTATGCAGCCAATTTTGTTGTCCCGATTCATTTATTAATCCATCCAGATGTGAGCAACACCTCAGCTATTGTCTCGCAATACAGAGCGATGGGATAATCATAAGGAAAATAACAAAGTTGCCGTGTTTTCCTCCCGGCGGCTTCCAAATCAGATTGTTCTATTCATGCGCGGAAAAACACTAGACGGCCGTTTCGACCTGTTGCTCTTTCTGGATTCTCACCCATGAGCGCTAGCGACTTGAACTGCCAACTCACAGCAATACACATGTTAACAAATCTCCTACTCATAAGCGCATCAGTATACTCACCTTAGCAGTTTATAAAAACTGTCGTATGTAGCTACTGTCGGTGGAAGTTTTGTCATTCGGATCCGACCTTATCCTCTTCAACGTTCCTACCTTGCATAGTAGTAGAAGACAAGACGTGCTATATCGCAGTTAGCATGTAACTCATGACGGTCCGTCGCTGTCCTGCATGGCTTGGTGGCATGAGCTGCTGGTTGGCAATGCAAGTTCGTGGTGTTCATGGCTTCGAATCCTGATGGACCCTACTGATAAGACGTAACCGGTCGAAACGGCCGTTTGGTGCTTTTCCGGACATGTGCAGGACTATCTGGCTTGTAAGCTACTGCGAACAGACCACCCAACAATTGACATCAAAATCCACCTACCCATGAGTAGTAAAGCAAACTAATATTATGCCCTGTTTTCTTCGTGGGCTCATGGTGTAAACCTGAGGTCACTCGGCATTGGGACGGGCGGGGAAACAACAGACTGCACTAATTTTGACTCTTGGTCACTTGGTGTGCCAGATGTGTCCATCAATTTTGAGATCCCACTCCGGGATTTGTGAAGCACCAATCTAGGAGGGGTTCAAAATAAGAGCCTTCATCCCTCTTGATCACATCATCCAGTGGGGCATTCCCCCTTGCTTTTCCACTTCACGCAAGTGACGCACCTCGAGATGCCTAGTCCATGGGGCGTGGTGCGTGAATTAACGGTTCTGAACGGTTGGACTGTTCTCTGCACCACAGACTAAACGCCGAACACGTTCGTTGCTCACACCTTGTGACCACCACAGATGCGCAAAACTGCGAAGCCACCGATAGTCCACTGTAATTAGCCACTTTGTGTTTGTTGGTCTGATGGGTCACGACTTTTGACTGTCTGTGGGGGGTGAACGGGCTGTAACGTTGTAGGCTCCACACTTCACAGCGTGACTGATGTCGTGCCGGCACATAACCGGCCCGTAGCCGAAAGGTAACAAGCTTGTCTTGTAATCTGATGCCGCGGGTTCGATCCTACGTAAGGACCGCGCGACCCTCGCAATTTTCTTAACCCAAGTGCGACCGGTGGTGGTAGCGAAGCGTTCGTACTGTTACTGATGCCGGCGCATAACTGGCGAAGTCGCGCACAAGCACATCGACTTATTGCTCTGTGATTTGTTGTCTCATCTTCCATCCAACAGGTGCTGATTCAGCTGCTCAAGTAGCTGCAATTTTATAACATTTATTACTGATGGTCACCATTTGTCAGTGCAAGGATGCTCCCTATCAATTTGAGAGGATATCTCTATATTTTGAAGTGATTAACAACTAGTACTAATCTGTCTATGGAGCTCGATATTTTGTGATCTGTCGCACATTAGTACTGTATCGTCGATGTGCTCCTAGTGGACAAATTGCTCATCTCTTGGCAACTGCACATCTTCTGCATCACAATTTTCTCAAAAAGGACGATGGAAGCGGGACGCTACAGTTCGTCATTAGGCCTTACTTTACTCGAACTGCGCGCTGGCAGCAATTTTATACTATTTACATGTTTCCTGTGCACACATTTGCTAATCAAGCATTTGTAAGAAACGCATCGATTCGAAATCGTATTTGGTTTGAAGGAACGCGAATAGAGTGGGTCGCTAATATAAGTGGCGGTGCTCCAATAGGTGACGCAAAGTGAAGATGTGACTGTTACAGTCTTTCTACGAAACCCGACTTGCTCTTCACTAATCTGGCTTTCGCGGGTACCAATCCTCTATGAAAAGAGGACCAGTAAACTTTGGCAATAGAGATCGTCAGACTGTGATACCTCCATGGTTGGTGCATTTCGAATGTGCTCCTCTTGCAAATCGGCATACAAATGGAACGCAGTTCCAGACGGACAGTTTCCTTCTCCTGCAGTAAATACGAAATATCCGCCATTTTGCGGACGGTTGATGGAACTCCTTCTAGTTCAGTAGCCTTGTATTTTAATTTCAGCAGTCCGATCTCACGCTGTACTTCTGCACGAGTAATTCCCATAACCGACCAACAGTTTTGATGGATGGGGTCCCCTATCCCCAGGTAACTGATGGCTATTGATCGATCTTCAACAAGATGCGCACCTTAAGACAAGCCAAGGGGATTGATGGCTTCAAATAGTCGCGACTGAACTGAGGTTTCCATCTTGTTTGAGCACGGGCTTGTGGATATTGCCAAAGCGATGCACTGTGGTCACGTGCGATTCGGAGTTGGAATATAGATGACTATCAAAACTGTATAGAGAAAAGCCAGTCGTTTTTTCATTACAAAACTGGGGACAAACCAGAATTTGAAACGTTACGAAAGGAATGAATTAGTATATGAGGACAAATAGGAAGGCTGAAATTTCTGGATAGTAGCACCATTACCTCCGTCCACCATAATAATAATAATAATAATAATAATAATAATAATGAGCAATGAGACTTGTTCTCTGAGCCTGGACTGTCGCCACTGGGACAGATAAAGTAATAATTAACCTTACAATAAGAGTGTAGAAGGTTATTCATAAGTAAACAAAAATAAATGAATAGTTTATGTCTCGATAGTGCAAGACACGGACCTTGTGGTTACTCCGATCACAATTGTAATTGTACTGTAAAGAAACGTTTGCGGTCAATCCGTACTTAAGAAAAGTGTTCACGAGTCGATGTTGCAGCGGTTCAACCACACGGGGCAGCCGAGGTATTTAGGGAGTGGTCTCGATTGGTTTCGGTACTCACTCTGTAATTTGTTCCTTGATTTCTCCAGATAGAAAAGAGAGTTTGTTAGGGGTGCGAAACAAAGATATTTTATTTAAAAAATGTGGTGGAGGTGAGTTGACTTTGAATCACAAAATCTTGTCATTTGCTATATGGCGCTCGGCCCTTCCTCATACAACTTGGCTTTACTCACGTCTATGTTTCGCATCTCCTTCACTTTCTTCACTGTCAATTCCCTGTTAACTAGAGTACGAAAAACACTGTCACCCCTTTCCAGATTCTGTGATAGTTTGTTCCATATCACCGCATAGCAGTTAAGAAAGAAATTTGATCTTAAGCTAGTTCTTGCCTTTTCGATTTGTAACGTGTTACATCCATTCCTTATATTGTATTTGAGGGATGGTTGAAATACAGCATCATTGTCTGAGGTAAAGATGCATTTGTGGATTATATCAAACATGAAGTTCAGTTTTAGTCTCCTTGACCAGAGAGGTTCTATGTTTATCTCAGAGCAACGGTCATAGTAGGTAAGATCACCAGAATTTTTCATCAGGCGCTTCGTAAAGTAGCGCTATACATTTTCCATTGAAGTTCTATCACTTTTTCTCATGTTAGAGTATATTAATGAGCAATACGGGACCAATATGTTTTGTATACAAATAGCTTTTGGATTCATTCAAAATAAAGTATTTCAGTATTATCCCTCCTAGTTTACTGACTTTCTCAATAGTATACTACACCTGTTCGGCGGTATTGAAGGAGCTCAAGTAGTGTATCCCAAAATCACGAATTGTGAGACAGGTGGACAGAGCTTTACTGTCTAGCACCAGAGAAATTGGTGCAATACTGCACCGATAACATATGTAGCTGCACTTCTCGGATGAGAGGTCTATTTTCCACTTGCTGCACCAAGTTTCCAGATCGTGTGCATATCCGCTTGTATCTCGTCTACTGCGTTAATGAAATTGTTCGAATCAAACTCATAAACACTTTTAATGCCATCTGCGAATACCTATGGGTTGCTGTGTTTGCTGACATTGAAGACGTCGGTAATGTACATCAAAAACGCTTGTGACTTTTCTACTTGTGGAAGTACTGCATAACATTTCGACTGCCTAATGCCGATCATTTAGTACCCGACCGAATGCTCTACGCATATCAAAAAATATGATGATCACACGCTTACAACAGTCAATGGAACGAGTACCGAAGTTTAGTCATTGTAGTTGATGCGTAATACACGCCTGTGTTCTGCATCCAGCAGTTAGGGTGCCGGTCCCAGTGATGGCAGCGACAGAAGATGGCTTTAAAGTCAACGGAGACCGCAATTAGGATTGCATGTCGCAATCCAAGACACACGGCGGGTACTCCAAAGACCAACATCCCGTTTATTATGCTTTACGACGGCCAGAGTATTAACAAATCATTCGAGGAGATTTCGTACTGCTTAAGATGGTTGCTGTCACCTTACCTTGACCTAGATTGGAGAATTCTACCGGGCGCTCAACCAAGGTTCGCGGTTCATAAACCCGACCGTAAGGCAGTGGGAGTTTGGCGGTGAGTTGCAACGCGTTCATTTTGAGGAATTAGAAGCCTTCCTTCTTCCAGCCATCAGCCTTGTGGACTAGGAACCTGAGTCTGTCTGACTAACTAACCATTCTGGCGTAAGTGGCTCCGACGGTTCAAGAAACATCGCTCAGCATGACTCAAAGGATCGTTCGGGCCCACAAATCACTGCACAACGCTAAAATTCAACCCCATTGCAGTGCGTCTAACACTCACATTTTATGGGCGCTCCGTGCCCTGAACATCTGCTTTTTAGCTCGATTTTTATTTCTTGTTTATTTTCATGCACAGATCTCCTCCACTTTTGGTCTTCGTTCGTATGCAACATATGCAATCTTTAACTCACTTTCTTTGCCATTCCATCAGGATCTTGACTTCGAAGGTCGGAACTCCTTACATGTGGCCATTGCGAATCGACGTGAAGATGCTGTTCGCTTTCTGACTGCCCCCAAACAACCGTGCACTGGTCTGTGCTCTGCATTCAGAAATTTAACGACAAGCGAATCCGATCCGCATCAGAAATCGGTCGGTATGTGTGACTGCTACCTCGGCGGGGCCGGGATCCATCCAAACATCCTCACTGGTTGGGGAACTACTGCGTTGGCCGAGGCAAAGATGCGAGGATACAGCGAGATAGTGGAGCTTCTGCAGAACGCTGTTCTTGCCTCTTGATCGCATATCGTCTCACTTCTCCCCACGTTCTACTTTACTCCTCAGCATTTCAGCACTTTTCCATGCTGCTATTGTTTGCTAAAACTTTCCACGAGTCCTTCAAATCTGTTTCTTTTTTACTTCTGACGGTTTTCTTGGGTCAGTTACATTTATTCCCTTGGTGATGTGATGATAGCTTTATTCTTTTTCAAAGTGCAATAAGACGCACCGAATTTGTTCTCTTTATTCCGCGGTGGACATCACAGATGCAGGAGGGAGACGGTGCTCTCATACCTCAGATTTGTTCATCCTGTCGTTACTACTATTTTTTTATACATTCGCTTTTAATAGCGCCGTCTTGTTGTCCCTCTTGTGCTGTCACCACTCCTCTATTAACCCGTTGAAATGCAACACACACGCGTTTGTCGGCCTATGTGAAACTTGAATTCTGCTCAGTTTTATTCTGGTTTAATATTCAATACGAATGCGATTTGGCTGTAACTAGTTTGGACACACTTCTTAATGGGACTTGGTCCGGCTCACTTTGGTGTCTCACGAGACGCCAAGTAACAGCAACACTTACGGTGTGTAAACTACGAATCAACACATTGCCCATTCCACGGTTTCATTACCGTATTTCTTGTAGCGGTGATAATTGGCATGGCGGAGGAGGCCCTTGCAGTGAAATTCGACTTAATTATCGGATTCGTGTTATCCCTGTCGTGTTAGGACACGAACTACTCACGTCTGCTTCCAAATTTGCTTTGCTTCAAGCGATCCCAGCGAAAATGGAACACCCTTCATTGGTTCTGTGGCAGTTTGACTGGGTTTACATGCACCACCACTGCCTGGGGGCTTCACGAGTGAAGTTGCGCAGCTCTCGGAGCCAACCGTATCATCTTTACGGCAGTATTACTTAATATAATTAGACGTTATTCTCCACTGTGTGAAGCACGCCCATAGAGGCATGGCGATGTACTGTATCCCAGTGAATAACTATTGCATAGACTACGCTTGTTACCTGTGTCCTAGAGGCACAAACCGCTTTCTGCTGTTATATACGTGTTTTGTCTAATCGGCACTTTTCATTGTCTGTATATGTGGCGTATCATCGCGCGTCCAAAACTCAGAGATGGGCATTTATCCGATCATTTCAAAATTCAGCAACAACCACTAACTACGCATATCTGGTGCGTGTTATGCTTTACAAGGTCTTTTGTTTCTGCGGGTGCATAAGACGTACATGTCCAGTAGGGTTGGTTCTGGTGATATTTTTCGTGGTAGTAGTAGCTTTCATTTTAGTTGTGTGGTGGACGTAAAGCAAATACTACTGCGCCAAAAATCAGGAGTATAAGCGTACCAAGAAAACCGGATGACAACGGGCCAACAGCGGCTCATACTAATGCCCCAGCCGAAGAAGAGCGCTTTGGAGTCTCTTATGTATGTAGATATAGAAGCAACGCGCGTCACGCGACTTCAAGTAGAGATTTAGTAGATGTTTGAAACCGTTGTTGGTCAGAGCTCTTGCATAACGTGAATGATATTTGCCACAAAAGATGAATCGGTTCGCATCTTGGTTTCTTATCGTTGTGGTAGTCGCAGTAGCAGTATTGGTCTTAATGATTGTAGCAGTGGTATTACTCGTAGTAGCGGTGATTACAGTGGCAGTAATAGTGCTTGTAGTATTAGTACCTGTAATGATTACATTATTCTTGAGCTAGGTCGGTTAATTGGCGGATTCGCGATCACTTTGAGCCTTAGTCTCCGGCTGTAAGATCTGCTCTTGTTTGTTCCACCGAAGACACTATTCTGCCACAATTCGACAAATGAACGATATATGCATGTCTGTTTGCTGGTACCGACCACCAGTCGTTCATGGGCCTGCTGTAGGCTTTGATTTTAGGTACGATGCTGCTTATGCTGCACTTTCTCTGTATCCTCACGGTCTAACTTACATCCGCCATTGGGGCCACATTTGTAATTTTTATCATTTATCCATATTTCAGACCACTCCACTTAACCGCAACATATGCATTGGGATTAGCGGGTAAGAATGGACCACTTATATCTGTTTCTCTTGTTTCACCAAGATCACTGCACCTTCTACTTCAAAGCCGTTTGGTACACCCATTGTTCCAATTGTCGCTTAAAAGCCGTTTTGTCGCTACCTCTTGATGACCTGACCTCTTTTGACGCCTTGGGTTGTTAAGGCAATTCTCTTTCAGCTCTTCGCGCCTTCCAACAATCTCAGTATACGCAATCCATTAATTTCTCTTTCTTGTTTTAACACTTGATTCGAATCATCACATATGCCTCGTTGCAAGCATGTCCTCTGTTATTCCCTCTGACGTATTACGCAACAAAGCGTTTCCCTGTTCATTTAAACTGCACGCGCACGCGACAACCTTACGTGAAGGCCGGCGAGTTTTGGAGAATCGTTTGCGCACGCTCCCACTATATCACTCTGTGAACACCAACAAAGTAACCGATTACTACCAGCCCATAGCTATGCTTGAACTGCGCAATTGATTGCGTAATTTTCTCTTTCTGTTCTGAACCCCACACCTCTTAACTGTTGACAATATCATGTCAATTCTTAGTGTTTTGCTCTTATGTGCCCACGAATCGAGAGACATCATCGTGTTGGTAATGAATACTCAGATGGAGGGACAAACGGAACCCAGCGTAACGTTTAAACGCCCTAATGAAGTAATTATGGTGCAAGGTGTACACACATTTAAGGAACCACTTCAATGGGACCATGGTACGATGCCTGTAAACTAGCCTATCCTATGGGATGGTTTGTGCGAAGTATACAAGTCCAAAATAGGTATCACGGGTGCAGAAATGACAGCAGTCGGAAGAGCATTCGATGGCCAACAAATTCTAAGCGAAAAACACATGTGTGTTGCGGTTACATTTAAGTCGGTGAGTGCAAGTGCCGCTAGAGTGTTGCCTCAGAATAAGGACACTGTGTACACGGCGATAGTTTCCCTGGTACACTTCCAGTGCTTTCGGTCGCAGTTGGTACGACAAGTGGAACAAACCATTCACATTTATAGTTGCCCTTAGCTGTGGGGCCTCCATTGCAACCAGATCGCGCTTTGATCATGGTTACCAGGCCTGAATCGCGTACTCTACATGTGACATCACACAGACTTTGAGAATTTGCAGGCAACTGGTAGGGTCGAACGCCCTCCGCTAGAGGCCAACATGTTGGACTTTTCCGAACAGCCGAGATGATCTTACATCGTCACTCTAAGGTGGCACTCTTGTGATGTGATCTTCAAGATGTGGTCTTCAGGTTTATATGCGTAAGTGGATTTGTGACGTTCATGTACAGTTTTACACTTGTCCGTGTTGAACGTAAGCGTATATATATGAATATTCAAAAGCAGTCTCATCGCCACAGTCTCTGATCTTCTTGACTACCGATTACCCGTCATTACTTACTACCGTCGACAAAATTCAAGATAACCTACTCGATGACGCACTCGAGGTCCTTGATGAAGACCAAAGAAAGGCGTGGTCCCAATACTGATCCTACAGCAGCACCGCCGTCCATCTTGCTGGCATCGAATTATGGTTTCGATCCACTGCCATTGCTTCCCAACATTTAAAAGCAACCTTAATTCAAGATGGACATTTCCTGCTCATTCCCTGGTTACCCAACTTCAGTCTGCCTACATTTTGTCTCCCTGTTATTGCGGAAATGTCTAGGGGTTCCGCAAAGATGCGCGCTCGCCTCACAGACTCCAATACTTCCATGCGCAATCTAATGACTACGCGACTTCCAAACCGCAACGAAGCGCGGTTTCGTAAACAATCGCGTCCCCTCCAAACTTGCGCCCGGCGTAGCGAGTCATTTGGGATATAACCTAAAAGGTGTCTTAACCTGTATCATCTTTCTGCGGAGTCAGTGAAAGCGCTCGTGTCAAAGGTCTTTCTTTCCCTGTTCCGTGTCCGAATGCGTAATCGTCTACTCGCTCCGTGGGAACGAACCAGGCGATCGTTTCATTTGGGCTGGTCCAACGAAAAATAGAATTCATGTCAATTGCACGCCATGTCCGAGCAGCAACAGCGTACAATCGATTCCGTACACGTCACCGCAGGGGATCACTTGTTGTAAGGATCTCCATCGTACCAACCGCGCGCATCAGATCGTACCAAACAGCTGATATCTGTTCCGCAAATCGTCCTTGTTTCACTCCTGCAGAGCAGAACCCAGAGTTCCACTGACTTGTGTACTATACCTTGATCCTAACGGTTAACTATTGGTTCTTTTGAACCCAATGTTCCAGCCTGGTGTATGCAGGGTTGCTCTAAGGAATAAAAATTTGGCAAATACGTGTAAGACACGTGTCAAGTCACTTTTCAACCGTGGAAGAAAAATATGCACTCCCTACAGTTTAGATGATGAGATAAATTTGCTCAAGAATACGCTGTTGAAAAATGGCTATCCAAGTAGATTCATCGACAAACATAGTCAGGCGAGGGTGCCGGGACAGAAGCTCTCGACAGGGTCTAAAAGAAAGGTCTATATTGTGTTAGCAGTTAAGGGTGATTTTGCAAATGTGTCCAACCAAGCGCATAACTTCCGCAGTCCAGAGGACTTATTATGCTGCTGAAATTGTTCTTATCAACCGGACTAATAGAATACCTGTTACCCCAAGGACGGAAATGCAACCTATTGGCGCCAACTCGCCTTGTATTTACCTATTTACTTCTAGTTTTGTTATACGCTACATCGGCCGTACCAATAGATCGTTGAACTTTAGATAAAGGGAACATGTACCTAAATGGTTCCAAGGTCAAATCACCCAGTCGTCGGTTGCTCATACCACCGGTTCTCGTGAGCCACCTACTTCATCCATAGGAATGCATTTACTGGCCACCTATCATCAGTTTGGTCCGGCCAAAATGTTTACCATCGTGTTCAGACATGCTAATGCCCGTTTCCTACGTTTTACAGAGGCGGTCGCAATCAACCGTGTGAAACGCGCACTCTGTGTGCAATAACAGTTGTTCGTAAACGTACGGCTGCACCGGGCGTAGGGGTGTCACGCCTGCCCCTCTATCCTGTTCTAACTTGTTCTGGTTTCACCCTACCTGTCGTCTAATTTATTTTCATGTTATTTTGTTGACACTGAAGAGACAATACGAAATGTTGACATTTGCCAGTGTTCGTCTTCTTACGGCTTTATTCAAATACATGCACACCCACTTTTCTTATCGCCAATATACATTTATTTCTAGGATAATGGAACACCTTAAAAAGCATAGCTAACTGTTCCGAATACGCGACGCTATGTATCCTTAATGACCTCAGTTTTCCGCAGTGGCGAAATTTTTTTCCGCGATCAAAATCGCAAATTTCGCGATATTTCTGATCCTACCATTAAATTCCGTGATTTCACTGCGGAAACTAACATAAACGGAAATCAAGACATGTTCACTCACTATGTACATGTCAGTTAGGATTAAAAACAGCGGAAATAAAGTAA